GAAGATGTCACTCTTTTGAAAAAAGATGAAAGCCTTATTTCTCCAAACAAAAAATTGTGAAGCCTCACAAATAAGGATCAAAACGAATCATCCCCCTTTTCGGTGGTAAACAAAGTTTGTGAAGGGTTGAAACATCCAACCAAATGTAGTGACGCAAACAACTTGGCGTTCAACTTCCCATTTCAATTTTAATTCTTCGATGTGGCATTCAACAATCCATTGGAGACAACCACATCCTTCACACGTCACATCATCATTTGTATTGCTGTGGCTTTTTCCCAATCAAGTGGTGGGAGGGCGGGAGTCCCTTTTAAATAAGAGCAATTTTTTCACTGAATAGCCGAGCGGTGCTCTTGGTTTGGTCACTTGGAACTGGTACAATCTGTGTACCAGGTTCGAGTGGCCACGCCTTTCAGCACAACGGCGGTGCCATGGATGATTCTGACCAAGAAGTTGATCCGGATGTGCCTTGGAATCACGGATCCGACGATGACTCCTCTGAAAGCCTCGAGTGGCCAGACTTTGAATTCTGGAGGCCACGATGGGTTGGAATGTCACCTAGTGCCATTGCCCATCAGATTGAACAGGAAGAGTTTCAGAGAATTGATCGGAAAGTGTTGCACCGTATTCGCCTTAACAAGGCACTCAAGCTGCGATGCAGTAATCAGTTTCATCTGGACAACCTCATCGAGAAGATCAGATTCACAGGTGGCAACGACGCAATGCATCCAAAAACTGGAAGTGCAAACAGTGATGACGATTTTTGGTAAATCACTCACCACTGAGGACCTGTGGGTACACATTTTCAATTTTTTCTGGAATCATTTTCGCAGTTGGAACATGATGCTGTGCAGCTCCTCTCTTTTTCGGACATACAGTATTTCACAGGGGATGGCTCGGGTATGTCCTTTTGCAATTTTAGTTTGGGTATGGCCATTTGCAAATCTTCTTATGGCCCGATGGTTGGAAATTGACCCAAGTGCAAGCGAACAATTTTGGTTGCACAATCCATCTGGACCAAACGTGGAACCATTTATAGATTTCTGGACCTTGACCTATTTTTGCATGACAACCGGTTTCCCATTAGCCGTTCATTGTTCGTTGGAAGCAAGTTTTCAGCAGTTGTTCTGTTGGGTCGTGGACTTCATGTTTCAGCAGGTGGTTTTGAAAGTCCGTAGAGAACTTCATCGTTCGAGTGAGATGCGAGCCCTGCATGATTGGGTCTGTGCTTTTGGGAACTGTCACATATTCCACAAGTTGCAGACTGTGAGGAAGCTTTCTCAGTGGAGCCAAACGTCAAATCATCCTGGCGTCAACGGCAACTCTTGTCAGCCAACCGACTCCGGGAATATCGCAGTCTGGGATCTCCACAGGGCTGTCTGCGAGTGGGGAACTATCCACTGGGTCATCATTTGGATGTCCTGGTTCGATATTCACTCGGCGTGCAGTCAGTTTGTGCGCCCAAACTCAGGCAGATTTTTAGCCTGGTTGCAACCCCGATGTGAAATTTTTCTTACAATGTTGGGTCACCTCGCAGGTACTTTTTTCCCCTTTTCATTTACGCATGACAGTGTTGTGGACAAAGTTATCTACATGGACTGTGGTTGTCGCCATTGTTACACTTTCACAAAACGACTGGTCGGACAGAGTTTCAGCTTGCAACGCTGGACAGTTTTGTGCTTCATGGGTCTACAGCTAGCAGATGGAGCAAACCCGGGACCGGATTGTTTCGGCAGTACAGACGAATGCCTTTGGCCTGGAAGAGACCCGTCTGCAAACAACAGCACCTCGATGTCTTGGCTGCTGCCAGTTCTTTGTTGAGCAATCAGTTTATTTGCCACCTGGGTGCTACGAAAGTGGTGGAATTTTTTGCCGCCAGCAGCTACCATGGAGGAAGTTGATTATACCACACTTGGGGCGGCACTCGAACGTATCAACAGCGAGAGCAACAGTTTGAGACGAGAAGTGAGCTCTTTGAGTGGTGGACTTTCGGAAATATTCTCTGTCTGTCGTTAGAACGCCCAGAGAGGACCTCGATGGTATCACGGCAGATCACGACCGTCTGGTTGAGCAAGTTGGATGGCAGCACGTTGGGATGGTACGCCTTGGAGGTTTTAATCCCTACCAGAGCTTATCAATCCAGCAGAGACAACAAGTTTTTGCCCGGGAGAGACGAAACATGATGGCCTACCGCGCAATGGGCCCGAGCGGGTTTATGTCAACAGTTCTTCACCAAGACAGGTTGTTGTGCTTGCAAAGTGACTTCAATGTAGTTGGAGGGGTTAGTGCGAGGTTGGATTACCCAAGGGAGGAGGCAGGTGCAGACACCCATCTTCTCATTGAATTCAATGATGTAGGGGACGGGTCATCATTGCCTCAAGACGTTCTTTGGGCGATCGCACGCAACAAACTACAAATAGAGTTGTACAACTGCCTGGTGAGGGAAGACTTTATCAGAGCGCGCTTGTTTCAGCAGGCACTTTTATTCTTCATAGATGTCTCCCATCAAGATAGACTTCTGAATCGACATGATCAGGTTCGTCTATTTACATACTTGGGGGACCACCTCGAGAGCATGTCAGATGGGCTCCGTGGGGAAGATGAAGCTCGAGCCAACGACTATCTAGCCCTGGCTGGCAGATTTCGTAGGGTGGCATCAGCGCACTGAACTTAAAGGTCATGGAGGACGCGGTCAAAGAATACTGTGATCCTGTGAACGACAGTACATTGACCAGAGTGAACAACTGAGGACTCCCGGTTTTGTCGTGATTCAAAGTTGTAATGAAATTTAGTGTTGGAGTCTAGAGACGTAAATCTCGGTTGTATAAGTCGAGAGTGGGTACCATGTTACAGATGCCTATTCTCTATCTGACACATCATACACCTCATGACTCACAGGGATGTCAAGCAAGCTGGACAAAACTAAGTTGTCATGAGGTTCTCGGTGGGCCCCTTATGTAAAAGGGACAGATATGACCAGAATGTCGATCGCTAAATACTACTTCAGTTCCATGTTGAACCAAGTTCCGGACAAGCATGCAGTCGGAAATTTGGTGTTCACTTTTCATTCAGGTTCAAGTTCCGACAATCATGAAGTCAGGAAGTGGACATTCAATTTTCTTTCAAAATCAATCCTCTGGCAATCATGCAGTCAGGAATTGGATGTTTTGAAGTGGCGACAACCGCATAGTTCGCAGTCAGGCTGATGTCTCCGACAATCATGCTGTCAGAAACCTGGAAGCCCATTTTCTTTTCATGTCACGTTTTCTGACAAACATGGAGTCAGAAATTAGCATTTGGGTTCTGCTAAAAACGCAATAATTTCAGGTCTTCTGGAACCTGCGGCGTTTGATTGCCATGAGTCGTAAATTTACAGGGAGGCCGCCACCTTTATCGACTCATCCAAGCGGCAAGTATTGGGGTAAGCCTCCAGCTTTGGCGCCACCTGGACACAAAGGCAAAGGAAAAGGAGGCCGCATTGTCTTTTCCGCACCAGAGGAGTCCATTTGTGACACGATCGACCACAGCAATTTGCGGGGAATTTTGAGAGACCTTTGCTAAAGTGACGTCTGTCGATTGGTACCCTTTGCTGTTGGGCAAACTTGCTGAGTCGGTCGTCGTAATATCTGGTGCCCCCAATGTCGGCAAATCCAGCCTAGCAGTTCACCTGGCCAAGACTTTGGGTTTGATGCGTACAAAGACTACGAGCAAAAATTTCTGGCTGTTTGCTCGTAGTGAAAGGCCGTATTTTTCCCTCTGGGTGTATTGCACCGATTCGTTCTGGAGTGAAGATGAGCCATCGTGGCCTCGGATGCGACAATCTGTATCATCTATCACTTCAGGCGAAGAATTCGGCACAGGAGCAGTCATTCCATAAGGATCCTTTAACATAAAATTTTAAATATTATTTAAAATTAAAAAAAATTAATGAAATTTAAAAAAATTAAATATTATTAAAATTTTTAAATATTATTTAAATTAATTTTAAATATATATTTAAAATGTGTATTTAAATTTTAAATTTAAATATATTTAAATTTCATCAAACATTACATTTTCATGATCTCTCACTCATACAAAAATGTTAAAAATTATCTTTGAAAGTTGCTTTTTGAGGGTTTTGAGAGTTGAATTTTGAGAGCGTTAATTCTTGAGAGTCCGGGTTTTGAGACTTGAGTTTTGAGAGTGTTCATACTTGAGAGTTGCGTTTTGAGGATTTTGAGAGTAGATTTTTGAGTGCAGAGTGTTCATTGAATATATTTATATGTTTACCGAATTGTCGAGATTCCGTTTGGTTATTGCTTGTCGATCATATATACGTCGAAAAACCATGTGCATGAAAATTTTGCGAGTGCATCGATCGATGCATGGCGTGTATAGATTTGGCTCAATATTGTGGATCGAAATCTGTTTGCCAGAAATCTCCAATGGCGTACGTGCTGAGCAGCAGCAAGTTTGAATCGTTGAAGGACTCTTTGCAGGAGATGTTCAAGCGACCCGTGCAAGATAGTGAACTCATGCTGGAGTTGGAAGCGTTTGCGGGCGATCGCTGCTGTCTGAGTTGTATGATGGCATATTGTGACGGGTTTTTGACTGAGCGTGAAAAGGCCAAATTGGCTTTGATTTCCAAGGATTGTTCTTGCGACTTGCAAGCTGTTTCTGTAAAAATTATATTGCAATAGACCGGTGCGTGCAACATAGGAAAATGGTTGTCCACCATGCTATTTTTTTTGCCTGCCAAGAGTTGCGTGTAAGTTTGGAAAACTGCGCGTAGACCATATATGTATATATGCATACATGCCCGCAGTTGCAGCTTTAGATTTTGAGAGTCAAGAGAGTTTGAGAGACATGGTCATGAGCTAAACGAGCTGACCGCAGCTGGAGTTGATAGCTGCCATGAAGTCTGGAACGGCTCGTGCACGGTTGTCAGCAGAACCAGGCGCTACTGCAATTTCACTGTTTCGAAAAAGTTTATGAAAAACTGACTCGGCTGACTAAAGGTGTTGGCGTTGCCGAGCTGCAAAAGGCTTTAGAGGATGGCATGTTGGTTTGTGGGAGAAATTTGCACGGTGACACCGGAATGCTGTCTCACAAAGTCGGTCATGTTACGTGGACGACCGCTGTTGCTTCAGCCGTGCCGCTGATTGAGAAAGTGGCTCCGCTTTTGCGAGAGCTACTTCGTCTATGCCCGAACACCTTGATCCCGGGAAAGAAACTGGATCTAGCGCTCATGGGCTGCCACAAGGAACAGGCAGCAAAATTGTTTGTGATTCTTTGATGTTTGAGAATGCATGCGTGTTTGCAGTTTATGAGTGATTCGTTTTCATGTCTATAGGCAGTTTTACAAAACATTACGGTTTTTGGGGTTCCAATTCAGGCCATCAGTGGGTCTGCCAAATTCGAGATGAAGGATGCTGAAAGTCTGAGCGAAAAACTTCGCCAGTTGAGTGGAAAAATCAGAAAAATGACTGATGGAAAGGAATATGAAAGGGCCATGCAGAAAGCAACTGTGGGCCAACACAAGATCGTGCGCGAGCTTCTGTCCTTGGTGAGCTACAAAGAGCACCGAAACAGTTTGGGTACCGACAGCCAGGACTAAATTTATCATATACACAGAATTGTAGTCCATGATCTACATGAGTTAACTGCATCTCCAAACTCCATATATGCAGTTACCATGATCAGTACTTTCATCTTGTGATATATATTTGAATTTGCATGTGCAAGTAAAGGACTCAGCAGTTGAACAGCATGGTTTACCTGATTTTTCACAGCTGCCGCAGGCTCGTATACACATCAATACTGACAGCTGAACTTAGATGCCTTGTTATCAGGCTGCCGGGTTGTCAGAGATGCCGTCATCTGCCCATCAAGAGCAACCCCGGGTGTTGCAAGAGGACGGAGTTGAGAAGCGCGAGGCAACAAATTTAGGATATACACACATATATAGGCGTATGATTATTTAAGTCCATCGAGGATGATGTTCCTGCCGAAGAAGCCCAGCTGTTGGACGAGGTCAGGTTAGTTGATAGGCCTACAGGTGATATTCTATGAGCACATCATTGGATGTTGAACTTCATCAGAGGTGCTTCCTTGTCCTTCGTTGTTAGGTTTTGCTGACGCCTGGAGGTACCAGTGCATCTGGTACCACGGACGATGCTGGCTCGCAAGATGTATCTATATAATATACGAATATTTTGAGAGAATTTTGAGAGCTATACAATTGAGAGCGCAGAGTGGTCCATTATGTAATGCTTAATTCTCTCGAGAGATTTTGAGAGCTATATATATCTTGAGAGTTTTTAATAAATGCATTGTGAGAGTTTGGATGGTTTACGTTGGTTTTGAGAGCTGAGAGAGTGTAGCTTGAAAAGTTTGGATGGTTTACTTATATAGGTTTGGAGAGCTGAGAGAGTGTGTAGCTTTGAGAGTTTGGATGGTTTACGTAAGTTTTGAGAGCTGAGAGAGTGTAGCTTGGAGAGTGTACTTGGTTTACATATATGGGTTTGGAGAGCTGAGAGAGTGTAGCTTTGAAAGTTTGGAGAGTTTAGTGGTCTAAAATGTAGCTTGGGTTTGAGAGTCAAAGGTGAGGGCTAGTCAGGGCTACTTAGATTGGAGAGATCCGGGCATTTATGTTTGTGCATGACATGTATAGATATATAGAGAGATATATATATATAGAAAAGGGATCGTATGGGATCGTATTTGGGTTCAGGTTTTTTTTTTCCAGGTCTTAACGCGTTGTAGGAGAGAATGAACCACTGAGGATGATGCAGCATCCGTCTGTTCGATTTCGAGTACAGAAAACCCGTCCACCCTTAAGAAACCTGGCGCGGCGATGAAGCGACCTGCAATGATGAAGCGACCAGCTGCAGTGATGAAGCGACCCAGCGCTGGAAACATCCCGAAGATGCCAAAACAAAGATGGGTGAAAATGTATCACAAAAAAACTATGAAAGGTGCCCTCAAAAACAACCATTCGCATGGGAAGCAAATTTGTCAATTTGGAGGAAAAGAATGGAGTCGGGAATGCTTGTATGGGATCATGGACAGAGCCATCAAGCGACTTGAGGACGAGGAAATGACTGAAGGTGAAGCCAAAACTTGGTGTACCAAAGAGCTCCCACCGGTTGATGTAGATCGACACCAATCGCAATGTTTTCGCTAATTTGAAAAAAATGGCCGCGAACGCAGATGCGCGCATGCACAGTATATGTGAATTAATTTTAGCAGTTGGATTCGCTAAAAGTTTGAGAGTGCAATTTCCAGCAAGAGACGCACTTGAAGTTTTGATTTGAGAACTTGCCGTTTTGGCAGCCGCGTTTGCTTTTTGACCTTTATCAGCCATGTCCACGTGGTTGTACAAGCATACCAGAGAGAATCGCCTGGAAGATATCGACATGGAAAGAAATTGGAAGGCCAGGTTAATTCAGGTTGAAAACAGAAAGCATCTCTTAACGTTGTTTTTTTGGCAGGTGGCGCTGCCGAGAATGACCGAAAAATTAAACTCCAAAGTGTACAGCGAGGGTGAAGAGGAGAGTGTAATATATACATATAGTTTTGAGAGTAGGTTTATATGCTTGCATGAAATGACTTGAATACTTTTCCTAGCTCTTTTTATTGCTAGGAGACATTCACCGAAGATGGTTGGAAGAGCTTCAAGTATGTACTATCTGAGCAGAATGCAACCAGCTCGCTTTTCCGTCACAAAAAAAAAACTGACTTTAATTTGGTCTTTCGCAAGCGTGGTGGGCCAGTGTTGACACTGGATGTAGAGTGGACGACCACCAACTTTCTGATGGTGCGCCTCAGACTGATGTCGGGGGCCGTCTTGTGGCAGAATGAATTTCTGTCCACGATGACGGTTTTCCACGTCTGTGAGGTTGCTTCCAATGACTGTTTAAGTCCCTTGGACTGGCAGGGTAAAGATTTGGTAAGCACTTTCGGAGAAGTTGTCCCCAGGGACCTTCCTTTGTGGTGTGTGTGGCAATGCCAGGAAGTTGCCAAAGCTGGATCTATTCAGCATGCCTTTTGCGGATGTCAGCGCTGAATAAACTTAAGATGTGAACTTGTGAACTCCAGGTTTTTGAAAGTACAACCCTAGGCTACCGCCAGAACACGGCGAGGTTTGGATGAGTGGCAGTGCGCGCACAAGACATGCTTGTGAAAAAAACGTCGGCTAGCAACAGCTGTTTAAACAGACTCGTTTCGGTTTAATTATGGAGACATGTTGCATGTTGTTTGGAGAATGTCTGAGTTTTGCATAGTTCTGCTGTTTACATAGTCGGGAGAACGTATGATCTCAAATTTTGTTTGGGTACGTTTGGGTTATGTTTGACAACATGTTGAAGAGTAGCTTTTGGAGAACAGTTGAGTTTAATACGATGTTTTGCATGGTGTTGATGCATTGATGTGCTTTGCATTCATTTAGTTTGAGCGGTTCGGTCTTGAAGAAAAACACATCAAAACAGGATCAGTCACCCAGGTGAAAAGCTTGCATGCATGCATGGATACCTGGAACTAATGTCAGTCTCATGGAACTAATGTCATCATTGCAAATGAACCGCTAAGCTAGCCATTGCTAGGAAGGGAGGTATCCAAATGAAGAGCTAAGGAGCCTTTAGACCAGAATTCACGCCATGGCGGTCTGGTACGTTTCAAACGTTCCTGCGTCTGTGACGCGCTCCTACCTTGAGAACTTGTTTGGTGGTGATAACACCTTCGTGTACATGCACCGATTCCTGGCGTAAGGGATTTTGAGAGTTGTGTGGGCATGAGAGTTGGAAACGTATCCATGCTTCTGAGAGTTTAGATTTTGAGTTTCCATGCTTAATTCTGAGAGTTTAGATTTTGAGCGCTTCCATGCTTCTGAGAGTTTAGATTTTGAGAGTTTCCATGCTTAATTCTGAGAGTTTAGATTTTGAGCGCTTCCATGCTTCTGAGAGTTTAGATTTTGAGAGTTTCCATGCTTAATTCTGAGAGTTTAGATTTTGAGCGCTTCCATGCTTCTGAGAGTTTAGAGCGTCTAGCTTTGAGAGATTTAGGTCGTTTGAGAACTGAGGCATGCACCAGAGAGAGACAAATCTATGCTCTTTCACCACCAATGCTGACCTCAGGGTGCTCACACAGGCACAAACCTTAGGACACATACGTGTCGTACATGACACACACACACGCACATATATATATATGCTAAGGCGATGGCAATGTTGGCACCTTTGGCCCACATCGGCCCGCACCACACAAGTGGCCTGCCGGACTCAGGAAGTGCCAAACTCAATCGAATTCAGAAACAAGTGGAAGTGCAGTAGAAACTTTCATCTCAATCTCAGGAATTCAATTTATCAATGCTCGATCTTACTGAGTCGATTGGCACCAGAGATGGCCACCTCTACCTAAAGGCGCTTGAGTTTCTTTTTTTTTTGTTCCCCTAGGGTGTGCCTGCAAATGGTCACCCTGCAGGTATCCCTGCGCGACCGAAACCGCCACCATCAGGTCAGAGACCTCGGACTTTTGAGAGTTTCACATATACTAGGTAACGATCACATTATCTTTTTGAGCGAATTATATATACTAGGCAATGAATTAAATAGACTATTTGAGAGGGGATTGAGAGTTCTGAGAGTGCTACATATTTATACTAGGCAATGAACAAGAAAATTTTGAGAGAGCTTTGAGAGTTCTGAGAGTGCTACATATTTATACTAGGCAATGAACAAATAGACTATTTGATAGTTGCGATACTGAGCCGTGAGCATGTTTGAGGGACTTGACTTAAGAATTGCATTTGTTCTTTTATCGCTTAGGCGGTTCACAAAAGCTGGAGACTGCCCGATCAAAAGTGCAGAGTCCAATAACGAAAATCGAAGAACAGCGCAGGTTAAGCAGTGAAGGCCTATAGACTTTGAGAGTTGTGCGTCTTCATTTCGAGAGTTTTGGTTTTGGAGTTGCGTTTCACATCTTTTATATATATATATGTATATGTATATGTATATGTATATGTTTACTAAGTGAATTTGCAGGTGTTCTCGACCAGCTCCCCCGTCCAATGCGGACTTCTGGCAATCCTAAAGGAGCAGTGTGCTTTAGTAAGGTGGTTTTATTTGCATAAGGAAAACAAATTTATTGACTGAGAGCTTCAGGATCAATGCGGCCTCCGGAACCAAAGGTGCCTCCGAAAGGAGAAGGGTTGTTTAGATTAATTTATTGTAACTTGTTTTGAGTGTTGAATGACAGAGAGAAAGTATTCAGGAGCAGCGGCACATCACCCTCCAATGGCGCCTCGAGGATTATATATTGCATGATGGTTGATTTTAGGTCAACTTGTTCTGTTGCAAGTTTTGAGAGATATGGTATTCAGGACATGTCGTTCCTCCGCGTGCAAAAGGAGCACTGTGTGATGGTAGATTTTTGTTTAACTTGTTCTGTTGCAAATTTTGAGAGTTTTGGGAGAGACAGTGTAATTAAGTCAGGTGTAAGAATTCTGGGTGGATGCGACCTCCATAGCCTGCGAATCGAAGGATTGTATTTTGGGACGCTGGACACTGGTTTTTGAGCCAAGTTTCAGTTTTGAGAGTTGTGACAGTGTAAGTGTTCAGGACCGGTGCCAACTGCAAAAGCAGGAGTGTATTTTGGAACACTGCACACTGGTTTTTGTGCCAAGGTTTGAGAATTGTGAGAGCGTAAGTGTTCAGGACTGGCGCCGGCGCCGGTGCCGGTGCCAACTGCAAAAGCAGGAGTGTATTTTGGGACACTGGTTTTACTAGTTTTGATCTAGTTTTGTTGCTTATGTTTCAGATCAGAATCAAGTCGGAACAGAAGGTCTGCAATGTTTTGGTTGAGAATTGTGCCATGGCAGATTATTGTTTAACTTGTTCTGTTGCAAGTTTTGAGAGTTGTGAGAGTGTAAGTGTTCAGGACCAGCGCCAGCACCTGGAGGTGCCAAAGCAGTAGTGTATTTTGGGACACTGGTTTTACTATAGTTGTGAGGGCATATTTTTCAGATCAGAGCTGAGATAGTATTCAGGCAAAGCCCAGCGAGCTGCAAAGCGCCGCAAAACGGAAGGTAGGCAATGTTTTGGCTTTCATGTTTGGATTTGTTTGCGTTGTCTTTGAAAGAACATCCAAAGGAGCGTCCAAAGGAAGGCCTCCTTTCTATGGCCGACAAGGCAAGGCACAGTTTTCAGCGCATCGCACATATAGTCTAAGCCGGTTTGGTTTTGGTCTGAAGCACTTTTGAGAGGTGGGCCAAGGGGGAAAGGGCAGAAAGGCCAAGGAGATGCTATAGTGCGTTTATGTGCGTTCGCAATCATTAACAATAAGAAAGGTGCACAAGAGATATATGATATATGTTTGATTTGCAGGAAATGAATGGAACGAGGCGAACCCAGACGACTACCCGGATCCACCAGGCACTATTTTCGTTTTTTTTGCCAAGAGCTGTTGCAAACGTCAGCATTTCGCATATAATAGTCATAGTCCGTGTGTTGAACTCTAGGTTCACTCGTGGAAAGATTCTTTCCAGCAGGCCCGAACATATTTTGATTGCGTTTCATTTCTTGGAAACGTTCCGTTGCTGCAGGAGAACCAGCGGCGTCTTCAAGTGCCTTCTTTCTAATTCTACTAGTTTTGAGAGACTTAGAGAGGTATCCTTGAGTTTTCAGACCTTTTGAAGGTGCCAGCACTTGAGGAGTTAATGCTCCAGTTTTGTTCTTCCGGCAGGTGCCCGTTCGAATTTGGAAGAGCAATCTGCAGGCTTTGGTTATTTGTTTAAAATTTAACACAGCGACTTCTTTGAGAGTTATGCGAGTATCGAGATTTCAGAGAGCATAATCATTTTGTTCAACTTGAACACTGCACTAGTTTTGAGAAGTGTGAGGACAAACAGCTTTGAGAGAGTAATAAACTATAATAATTTGGTGGATGTTGAAAACACTGTAGGAGTTTTGAGAGTTGAGAGGACAAAGAGCTTTGAGAGAGTAATAAACTGGTTGAGGTTTTATATATATGTATAGATTTGAGACTTGTGGGACCGTAACCTTTTCTTCTTTACGATAATCCATTGAGCTATACTGCATTGGGAGGCGGTGACGCTTTGGAGACCACGCCCAAAGGAGGTGATTTTGGAACTTGTTGATATATATATATATATTTATATAGATATAGATAGATTTGAGACTTGTGGGACCGTAGCGTTTTTGTTTACGATAATCCATTGAGCTATACTGCATTGGGAGGCGCTGAGGATCTTGAGACCAAAGATGAACAAGGTGATTCTGGATCTTGTTGATATATATATATATATATAGATATATTTGAGACTGCATTGGGAGGCGCCGAGGATCTTGAGACCATGGAAGCCGAAGCAGGTGATTCCGGAACTTGTTGAGATATGTATTTATATATATATATAGATTTGAGACTTGTGGGACCGTAGCCTTTTTTGTTTACGATAATCCATTGAGCTATACTTCATTCATTGGGAGGCGCTGGTGGCGATCCTTTGTCCAAAGCCGAAGAAGGTGATTCTGCAACTTGTTGAAAACACTGTAGGAGTTTTGAGAGTTGTGAGGACAAAGAGCTTTGAGAGAGTAATAAACTGGTTGAGATTATATATATATATATATGTGTATAGATTTGAGACTTGTGGGACCGTAGCCTTTTTTGTTTACGATAATCCATTGAGCTATGCTGCATTGGGAGGCGCTGGTGACGATCTTGATACCAAAGCCGAAGAAGGTGATTCTGCAACTTTTCGAAAACACTGTAGGAGTTTTGAGAGTTGAGAGGACAAAGAGCTTTGAGAAAGTAATAAACTGGTTGAGATTATATATATATATGTGTATAGATTTGAGACTTGTGGGACCGTAGCCTTTTTTGTTTACGATAATCCATTGAGCTATGCTGCATTGGGAGGCGCTGGTGACGATCTTGATACCAAAGCCGAAGAAGGTGATTCTGCAACTTTTCGAAAACACTGTAGGAGTTTTGAGAGTTGAGAGGACAAAGAGCTTTGAGAAAGTAATAAACTGGTTGAGATTATATATATATATGTGTATAGATTTGAGACTTGTGGGACCGTAGCCTTTTTTGTTTACGATAATCCATTGAGCTATGCTGCATTGGGAGGCGCTGGTGACGATCTTGATACCAAAGCCGAAGAAGGTGATTCTGCAACTTTTCGAAAACACTGTAGGAGTTTTGAGAGTTGAGAGGACAAAGAGCTTTGAGAAAGTAATAAACTGGTTGAGATTATATATATATATATGTGTATAGATTTGAGACTTGTGGGACCGTAGCCTTTTTTGTTTACGATAATCCATTGAGCTATGCTGCATTGGGAGGCGCTGGTGACGATCTTGATACCAAAGCCGAAGAAGGTGA